CACAAAGCCACTACTGACTATCAAGATAATGTATTTAATATTAACTTAAGTTGGTAGGGCCGCTCAGTCTAGAGAAAAAGGGTATTGACAGATATTTAGAGGGATAAAAATGGATCCTTTTATCGATTGGCTTACAAAACCTCAAAAATCACAAAGGCTATGCCGTTTTATATAACATTAAATTTTTATAACGATATTATATTTTATGGTTACAAAAATTCATATTGTTTTAAATTGTATACAAACATAAACAATTAAAACGAGAATTGTCTGATTTATGCCTCTGTTAACCATGTGATATAGAAAAAGAAGAATAGATTTCGTTAAATTTTTGCCAAAATTAAATGTTAAATAAAATTTATTTATTTGAAGAAATTATTGTTGTTTACAATAATTTTATGGTTTATGACTTACACCGAGTTCTTATAATTTTATATTCTACACTACATTTCCAGAGATTTCACTACAATATTAATAATAACGTATTCCTATCACGTCACAATGCTGTTCGTGATATATTATAGTTGAAAGACAGTCCGGGAGTAGCGTATATGTTCAAAGGAATGGCTTTTAGCCAGCAGTGATCTATGTAGTCAGTCAGTGATCATGATACATTTGTTCAGCAATTTTGATGTGTATATAATGACTGGAACCATGTATCTTATGAGCATAGCAACCGAACCAGTTCTTTGCTAGTGTTTGTAAGTCATAACTTGATTAAATTTATTTCGCTATTCTCAAGTCTTGTAGCACACCTAACTAGGTTCATAATTCTTAAATGCAAAACTTCAGTTGAAATTCATTACCTATTTTACAGCGCCATTAAACTAAATTGAATTGAATTGAGTTGAATTTTAAAATAAAAATATAGTGTTTCTCGTCAGTCTTTTAGAAGTATGGATTTGTTTGTTTTGTATTCAGGTCATTTGTATATAGCATGAAAGAATATAAAAAAGAATAGATGAGAAGTAAAAAGTAACCGCTTAAAAAAATATTACATAAATTATATGAAACCTACGTACAGTTAAAGAATACTTATAGATATACTTGTTAATTACATTCTAGAATTTATTAAGGGTTTATTAATTGAAACACCTCAGACAATTCAGCTTATATTATTTGTTAATTATAAGGCAGTTGTCTTTAAGGACTTACATGTTATTTCATATTCTTTCTTATCATTTTTTTATATTTAAGGTAAATAAAGTATTAAGGTAATAAAGTATTTATGCAGATATCAATAGTTGTATGTATTTAAATACTTATTCAAAACTTAAAACTTATTATAAAAAAGGTCATATATAGTTAGTGGTGGCCTAGTGGTTAAAGGCCCGTGAGGGTGCAGGTTCGATCCTGACAAGTACCAATGTGATTTTTCCGAGTCATATGTACTTTCTAAGAGTATTTAGACTTCATTGACAGACGGTGAAGAAAAGCATCGTGAGGAAAAATTTCACAATTTTAAGTTTGAAATTACCAACCCGTCTTGAGCAAGCGTGGTGATTAATGCTCAAATCTTCTCCATGTGGGAAGACGCCTTTGCTTATCAGTAGACCACGATAGGCCGATGATGATGATGACGACGATTATTAAAAAAAATTTAACTTCTATGAAAGCGAATTGCCATTCACCCAAGGGAGTAGAATTAAAAGGAATCCCTTGCAAAGCGATTTTGATTCAGATGACAAAATAAATAAACTGTAGAGTTTATGCATAGGAAGGTTAGTTTTAAAGAAACTTAAGTTGTTTATTGACAACTTGGAATTTAATGATTTATGGTTTAAAAAGTGTGTTTGTCTTTTTAATAAGCAACTATTGCAAATTTGAAGTGTTACATCAGCAACGTAGTAGTCAATAAAACATAATGATGTATAAGAACTATACTTACCTTTACCTTTCTATACGATAACGATACTTGCCTTTTCTACTATGGCCACTCAATGTGTGACATAGTTCGGGAGGCTCAAAGAGATCTTGATCTGCTCAATGACTGGTTTCTATGCAATATTTTAACAATAAAAACGTCAAAACATCATATATGATTTTCACTGCAAAAAATAAAAAAAATACAAAATTTTCCGGCCCTTACAATAAACAATATTAGAATACAACGATCAAACTTAGAGAAATATTTAAGATTAAGTTTGGATGATAAACTGACATGGAAACCACACATTGAGCATATCAGATCAAAACTCTCATCGCTTTTAGGAGCACTCCGAAGATCTAATAATTGTATACCAAAAAAAGTGCGAAGTGTTATCTATAATTCCCTGATAAAGCCACACGTTGATTACTTAATTGAAATGTGGGGGTCAGCATCAAAGTCTGACCTTAAAATCTTACAAATTACGCAGAACAAAATTATAAAAGTACTTTTTCACTATGACTTTTTCACACCGTCGATAGAACTTTAAATCAAAATTATTCAACCTAAATCAAATATATATTTATAACACATGTATTTTAATTAAAAAGATACTATCTAAAAGTATTCATTTAAACATAACATTTACACAAAAATCAAACAAGCATAATTTAAGAAACAGACATAAACTTGAATTACCTAAAGTCAGAACCTTAAATTATGGACACAAAAATATACGTTTTGATGGAGTAAAACTATATAATGACTTGCCAAACTACAAAAAAGAATGTAAATGTTTAAGTGCTTTTAAAAATAAACTTAATATATATATATGTATATATTAGACAATATCAAGTAGTACTAGCCATTCCATGTATCAAATATTAATGTATATGTGTAACATTATTTAATCTCATTTAAGTGAACCTGGGTATGTTCTTATGAGAATAAAGATCTTTAACCATAACTATTAAGATAATTTATCTTAAATACCTAATGAGGATTTTTCTAAATTCCCCATGAAATCATTAAGTATCTATCTTTAAAAAATAATTAGAAATCAAAGTATTAACTTGTTCCAAACTTGGTACAAATCAAAAGCATTAAAAGAGTGTTCTATGTTGTGTGAATAAAATATAAAAGGATTGGGATGAAGTTTTACGTTTGAATTTAACGTTTTTATCACCTCTCGTATACAAAGTTCTCGTTTTTCAGGATGACTTCCAAAAAGCAATTTTCAACACGAAAGTTACTAGTTTCGGTTTCCATTTAGCCAGTTTTATTTAACAGAGCGAAAGATGTGTTGAGTCGATTTAGAGAGAGAACAGAATTGTTTACTATAAGTGCTAGTCCTGGATTTCCTTGCAAAACATTCATTTGTAACCAAGTTTTTATTTCTGTTTTAATTACTTTCTGGGTGTTTTTGTTTCTTAGACACATTTTAATGCTTACAATTTTCAGCAAGCGTAAGAAACTCTCTAACAATTTTTTTTATTAAATAGATTAGCTTTCAAATTTTTATTTTAATATAACTATTTTATACTTATTTAATGAGCCTTTTTTATATACCCAAAAAACACGCACAAAATAGTAGAAAACAAACACAAAATAAGATACGTCATAATGATAGATGTCTCTTACAAAACAAGATGTCTCAAGGGAGAGATGACATTTGACAAAGATTAATATAACACCTAAATGACATCTCACAACCTCTTAAAAGATTGATCCATAAGCAAGTTACAAGTTATGTTTCTTAATGATCCGTCGATTAATGATTAGGAGCATCTCAAGACCAGTTATTCTATTATTTACATATATGTACTTTGGGATTTTAAAAAATCATTTGTCGATGTGTAACGAATTATTATAAATATTCCGATGCATTTAAAAAGAATGTATTTTGTGTTTCCGTTTTCATTATATATAAAAATACATCGAATTGAAAATTGAGAACATACGGAATTGGAACGCTTGAAGGACTGCCAAAAACAAAAACGATTTTAAATCTCGTAACGATGAAGCAAATAATTAACAAAATGTTTAATTGGCAACGAGAGCGTCTGTACTGGTGTGATCCGCGTATCACGACAGGTAGTTTATTTAATTGGTGTTGTATTCGTTTGCATATATTTTTAAAACTAAATGTGTCCCGCAGAATTGCTCGCGTACTTGCACATTGAACTGATCACCATGACGCTAAAGTATAACAATATATTCGTAAAATTTAATGTATATTTAAAATTTTCGATGTTAATCCGGCCACAAAGCTGTGGGCAAATTAGAATAAACAAATATAATTTCGTTTCAGAATAGTTCAATATGAATTGCAGTAGATTTTTCTGCAAAGAAGCTTGCATAGGTCGTGCAGTAATTTAATTTTTTATAACAAAGTTGCTCCTAGTTCTAGCTGTTTGCCAGAAAAGTTCATATTTTATTCAATGAGCATACAAAAAAAACGGAAACTTCTATCTCTTCCAAAGAAAATACTGTAAAGGAAATATTAATTCACGTCTTGCTAAGTGCTTAGTGTCGTGTTACAAGGATTTACGAGCTACAGTCTCTCGGGGCGACATTAGTAAACTAATAAGCTTAATAATATGCACATGGAATTTTACATTAAGATGGGTAATTATTTAAACTAATTACCACCATATATGAGTCATACGAACCGACGAGTAATCACAGCTGAAGTAAATTATGACAAACAAACTTCTTCATTCAACTTCCCTCAAGTTTGTCATATATACATATGTAGATAATATTCATTGTCTGTGTGTTTTATGTATGTTTACAATAAATAATGTTTAGATTAAACCTTTACTTTTTTTAATATTTTGTTTTCGTTTTGTGACAAATATATATGCATGTTATAAATTAAGTACATTTTTTTTTAATACTTAATGTTGCAGTATGTGTAAAAATATTAAAATATAATTTCAAAAAAGTCAACAGAAATAGAAGGACAGTCTTAAGATTAATGAGTCGAGTGTTTATTTATCTCAAATCTTGTGCATTCGAGCGAGGTAAATGATAATATCTACTGGAATTGCAATGTAAATTTAATCTCTTGAATTTGTTTAGTTAAATTTCCAGCTCTTCACCACTCGGACGTTATCGCAGAAAAACAGTCATGGAAGAAAACAGTGGAAAAACTAAGTCCAAAGTGAGTTATGACATTGGTGTTACTTGTGTTTTAAATTTTGTTTTTTACACAAGAAGTTTTTCAATGAAATTTAATTAAAACGTTTTTCTTGCTTTCCTTCATTAAAGGATTTTCGATATAGGATTTTTTTAAATTAAACAATTTTAATGTTTATATTTTTTATTGACGAATATATTTCAATTTTATTTTAGAAAACCAAAGAAGAAAAATCCCGCAATCATAGAGAGTCAAACCCTGAGCAAGATGAAATAAAAATGTTTAAAGAGAATCTACTGCAGTCCGTTTCCACCGGGGAGTAAGTTTGCCGAAATATTTATATGAGAGATGCAGGTTTTTAAGTAGGTTAAGTTCAATGATTCTGCTGATATTTTCATATATGTATAAATGAATTATAAATTCATACCGTGTAGATGCAAAAAATCTTTAACAAATAAATATAGTAAGAGTTTATTTATTCTTCTATATTAATCTGTTCTTTTCAGTTTCATTTATGTTTTAGTTATAGCTTTACAATAATTTATTCACACAACTATAGAACAGCCACTAAACAGATTGATTGATGATATAACAAATTGGCATTGAAATTCAATTACGTGATGCTTATAATTACTTCTTCCAACTTATATTTATAAAAATAGATATATATTATAAAATTATGATTCCTGAAAACTAAGCATTTTTCAAATTTTAAGTCAAGTCATTTTTTGGAATTAAAACATTTTTATACATCACACATATATGTTATATATTAGATATTTTTAATGAGCATTATTTTAACCAAAAATTATTGTTAAAATATAAATAAGGTAATATTTCGTTTTTAGACCATTTTAATATAAGCTGAACTTTGCTACGCGGTAATATAAGATATAACAGCCTCCCAGCGTTAGGTAAAAGTTTACTTTTATTCTGCTATATGGAAGCTCCAATCTTAAAAGATTAAAATAAAAATTATGACAGGTATTGTAGTCAGTTAGACCAAAGGCGACACATTTTGCTACTCTTTAGATATAATGACATCTAATTTAATGCTCTTTTCATGTAAATTACTTTTATGCATGTAAATAGTAAAAATTAAGAGTAAATATGAATTTAAATTTATTTAAAATTCTTTTGATGATAATTGTGATAATAAAATGAATGCTTAAGGCAGACAGTATTCTCCCTATTTAATTAACTTATTGTAATTTCAGTTCCATATTATCTGAAAGCGCTGACATCTCCGAAGAGACAAAACCATATTCCACTTCCAAGGCGCGGGAAGCCTTATCTGTGTCAGACAATGTTTTAGCCGAACTCGATGAATCTAAAATATTTGAACTGAAAGAGGTAAGTACCTACATAACATAGCTTTGTAAAGACGTGTATAAATAATATCGCAATCTTATTGAATAAATGTTGATTATATAGAATACATTGAAAGCAATACAACGGTAATTGATGTTTCCATTTGATTTTACCACGCTGTACCTGATTTTAACAATATTAAAAAGTATATCAAAAGTTAACGAGTCATCAACAAATTTGGTCTTACCAATTAGAAACATAGTGTAATGCTGAAATGTAGGCTGAAATTAAGCGACGCTGTGGGCGAAAAATCGAATATTTATTATCTTTTTTAAAAAACTATCAACTATTTTCTTATATATCTATATTCTTCTATTTTCTGAAACATCCAAATAGGAGTACATATAGTCAAAATGGGTTTTAGATCAAGACAAAACATTATAATAAACAGGACATTGACATCCATGTATGTTTTAATTTTTTTTTATTTTGTACTAATCGTTATGTTTAAGGCCTTCCTTCTTTTTGACATGAATGGTGACGGCTGCATAGACCAAAATGACCTTCGCGCTACATTAGTCAGCCTCGGGGAAAAGATAGATGAACAGGCAGTAAAGAACATGCTTTCCGAAGTAAGTTATTTTATATGCATTTAATTGAAAAGTATTATACAATTTTAATTTAAATTTTATAAATTGAATTTATATTGTTGCTGTTTTGTATAAAAAGAGAAAAATTAATGAATTCATAAATGATCTGTAAATATTTTACTTTGAAACTCAAAACATAACCGTTACATTTTAAGCGAAAATTTGTTGATTTTGATTGGAGTTTCAACTGTAATTCGATACGGCTGTGCAAATAAAAAATGCTGTTTTAAACTTCCAAAATTAACAGAATGTTTAAATTACCAATGAATAAAGTTTCATATATATGATGTTTTTTGTATTAATTTTGTTTTTAGGCTGCAAACCCACTGGACTTTGATGCATTTGTCCACCTTCTTGGTTATAAAACACTCGAACTGGATTCAGAAGAGACCCTTGTAGCAGCTCTTTCTCGATGGGATTACGATAATACGGGATATATTTTGGAGGAAAAGTAAGTGATAAGTTTGAATTTTTTCATATTGTAATGATCTATACAAAAAAATAATTTGATGTATAAATTCCCAAATATCTATGTGCATATAATAAGTTGACTGAAATAAAATATTTTCTTCAGTTTTTCTTTTCGATTTATATTAAATGCATACATTAAAAAAAGTTATGACCGATTGAGTAGAGTAACAAAAAAACCTTAGTTTAACTCCCATAGGAGAAGAGAAGGTACTACTATATGTAACCCAAAAGTCAAAACGTGTTCGGAATATGATATTTATCAGTATCAGTTGGGCAAATATTCCCTAGTGTCTTAATGTCAGCGAATCTGTGACTTATAGTAAAAGAAGAAACAAAGTGCTGGTAAAAAGTTAGATAAATCTCCTAAAACATATAAAGACTAATATAAATATTTATTTTAAAAGTTGTCGGAACTCCATATTCTTTGAATGTTGTTATTAATTGAAACGAAAAACAGGTCGATTTAAAAAATATATAATGGGATATAAAACATACAGATAATTTTTATATAAAATATTGAAAACAACAACCGTATTGCAATCCACTAGAAATATGTAGGAATGTTTAAAAAATATCAATTTGAACCAAACCGATGTATTCTACTGAAAGGAAAATTGAAAACGTATAAATTCATAGGAAACAAACTATTTCTAAATCGATGTATAAAAGAACGCATTAGTATTTAATTTTTATAAAACAAAATATTAATTGAATTACTAAGCTGAATATAAATACCGTCATGCCGAGTCACTGCCACCTTTATAAATGGGTTAAATTAATCATTGAATCAGCTCCAAGTAACTTAGAATAGATCTTGTAATTAATTTATTTAAACCTTGGATACAAATTATTTTCTAAGTCAGAGTAATATGCTAATGGTTTGCAGGTACAAATAAGCTTTACAACAAATTAGATCTAAGGAATGTACATTTTATAAATCCCAATGACAAAAAAACGTGACATGTGAAAAAGGTTTTCCTTTTTGCTATACTTTTACGCGGACTGAGTATCAATTTTTATGTGTGGTTACATCAAAATAAAGTAAGAATTTGTTAGTCCCTTGACACATTTAAAAATGTAACTTATTTTTCTAAAGGTTTAAAAAAAAATTGAGTTCGTATTGAAGTGTTAGAATTTTTTATCTAAAATAGTGGAATCGTGATTTTTGGTTATATCAAAAACACTCTTTCAGAATCCGCCAGGATCTAATGACAAGGGGAGATCGCTTTACTGAAAAAGAAGCTGATTATGCTCTCGACGAAGCACCAACTGTATACAAAGACGGATATGCTTTTATAGATTACAAGCAATTTTGTTCGAAACTTTGCGGTCTGAGGAAGTCTAACAAACGTGCTCTTCAAGTTTGAAAGAGCCTGGGATCATGCCTCATAGTTTTGTGTTATACATTTTCTTTCTTTTGAACTCAAATTATTTATTTTTTTATTATTTAATTTTAACCAATAAAGTTAGGGTAGTGGTTTGTGAATAACAACTAAATATACTGATAGATTATTAAAACTTACTCAAGATTTTCTTTGTAAACATCGAAGTCTGTAAACATCAGCTCAACAATTTGATGCGGGGCAGCTATGAATGTATATAAAAGACAGATGCCTCTCGGATATGGTAGTGGATAGTCAGGACTGCTGAATATTCCACGTTCTTTACCGTACGTCGAAGAGAATGTTATACACGAGCAACCTGAAACAATTTTTCATGTTAAAATAAAATTTAAAATGGAATAAATTATTAAATACATCACGATGCACTTTTATTTTTTATAACATAGTTTTTTTATTAGTAGATTGTATAAATCATCACAGAAGGGAAATATTTGGAACTAAAAATATTCACAGCCTAGATGAGAATCAGATTATTTAGATTGTCGGTAGTTTTCAAAAAGACAAGACGTATAATATTTAAAAAAAATACGTATATATAAGGCATTATATTTATTAAAATACCAAAATAATTTTAAGTTTCCCGTAGGTAGTATTAAGGGTTTTAAAATTTATGGAAGAATATAAAATTTTTAATAGAAATTGCGACTTCACTGCGTTTTAAAAGCTTAAAACAAAAGAGGACTGAATTTTGGATTTGCCTTAAATATTTGAGTAAGGCCTGGGGCTTGGTTCAAAATTAGAACCGTAAATGATAAGTCGGCGAGAAGTGTTGTATAATCGCCGCTTGAAGCCAGTCGCCGGAAATTGGGACGGCTTGACCACACCATCCAACCAATAATTTTCAAACATAGATAAAATTTTAATATTATTTCTATCCAACAAAAATTATTTGCCATGAAATAATTCCCTTACAACCTGTTTTTGAACAAATCCACACTGATATATTATTTGTAGTATTAATATAACATTTTTATGAAGTATAACTCTGAGTACACCAGATTTTAGCGGAGCTTGTCGTCCATTTTACTTATGAGCTCATTCATATAGAGTGTCCTGTAAATACGAGGTAGTATAAACATAGTGTACTCGCCTCTATTATCACTGCTGACCTCATTTTTAAATGTAAAGAAATAAATAAAATTTAACAGCGCTACCACGTTGTTAATTAATATATGACATAATTTTATTAAAAACATGTTGGTTTTCTCATCAAGTTCCAATTCGATTGATTATGACAATTCTGATTCATGTTTATTCCCATCAAATTATAAGAGACGTTAAAAAAGTATTCAGAAAGGGTTTAGATTCATAATTAAATTATAATATAATATATTATTATTTATAATTATTTTTAATAGATTTAAATTATTAATTAAAAATTTGACCTTCTTCATATAAGACTACGTTTCATTTACAACAAACAAAAAGGAACAACCCAATATAGTATACGATAATATAATGATATATCAAATTTGACGTTAAAGAATACATTAGGGAATAGTTTCTCGTAGCTGTTAAAGAAGATCAACGGAAATTGGAAAGGTTCGATCATACCGGTCTCCTGCTAACAGCTTTAGATGGATGGCACAACTTTATGTGGAAATATCAATATACAATAACTGTCAGTCAGGCTGACTGAGGTGTTGTAGATTAGCTTGTAATTATTTTAAAGTCTAGTATGTTTGAAAAAAATTAACATACTAAAATTTGTCTATGTAATTTGGATATATTTTTATATTACCTCCACTTACAGTGATTTAAGGTTCATAATCTAATTTCAACTAAATAACAAAAAAGTTTCTGTTGCTATGTATCATCCTAAAAAGATAATTCTTCTTAAAGCCACTCAACGTAATTTTGGCAGTTGGCACAGTTCTCTATCTAAAGGGCTCCATACGTTAGCTGCCAACAAAGTTCATTGTATAAATTAAGACCAGACACAAAAGAAATAGCAAGGAAGCTTCTTCCAATGGAATTAAATGGGTCGTTTGAAATTATAGTTACAACTGTTATTACTTTATATAGCCATCGAATCCAAAACAATAAACCGCTTTGAGGCATAAGTAAAGATGTTGAATGTATTAAACATAATAATTGTATCATTAATGAATATGTTTCTTGTACCTATAATTAGAACGGCATCCCTTCTGGGCGGTTAAGTAATATGAGTACAATCTTCAGATGAGCACGTACGTAATTAATTTTGAGCCTCATGTTGTTATATTAAGGTGGTGTTATTGTTAAGTTTGCGGCTTAATGGCGGTTGTAAGGCTGGGAGTGCTCAAACTGCAAAAGTTTAATCGTAACACACACCCGCAGGGGTTTTACGTTTTAGTTATGACTAGTTTTCAGGGTGTGATTTCATGTCATGCTAAATAGTTTATAATTCAGTATATTTTTTATGTCTTCAACACGACATCTTGAATCATTGCCAAGTATAATCTGATCGTAGAAAATCACTGTCTAGCAAATTTCCTGCTACATCCAAATTTAACGTCTCTATGATATTTTTCTAACAGTACAAGTGGTTACAAAACACATTTCATAGAAAATAAATGTTCTTAGTTACACACAAAGATAAAATGACAAAGCAAAAACGACCAGTCCGCACATGGTTTACATCTTTCAAAGTTTTCATAAGAACTTTGTCAGTTGTTTGTAGACAATTTCTCATGAGTTCTGCACAATCCACTCAGAATAACAAATATAATATTCTTGAGCAACGTTTGCTCCTTTTATTTCAACAATAAGAACTTTTTAACATGCTTAATCTAGAATTTTTATTAATTGTATTATTATACACAAAGTTTACTGAAGTTTCAGTTTACTGTATGTACCGGCTACAATTTTTATGTTAAATTATCCTTGAAGTGTTAAAAGTTTTAGAAATATTCTTTTATTTCCGAACACGTGATAAAGTGCTAATTAGTTAGCTACTAAAGTTAGAAGTTTTTTAATGGAAAAACTCCTGTCTTGGTAGCGTCGAGTTGATTTAGTTTAAAACTTTCATCACTCGTTAATTATTTGCTATCAGGGTTGTCTACAATGTTAAGAAGTTATTTCCCATTTTCAAGAAGCCATGACGGGATTTTATGAGTTATTTACCCTTTTCTATTTCGTTTTATAAATTGTGTTATTACTTTATGATTAAACACATATTTTACAAACACCATTATTTTTAAATTGCACTATGATATAAAATATATTTATAAACTCATAACGCTATGAACTAAATAATAACAATTGCAATTTTTCAACAAGAGGAAATCTTTCATTATAAAGACACATTATAAAGAATTATTCTATTGCTTACTACGTTATAGTGCTTTAATTATTCAGTCGTAATAAATTATATAAAGGTATTTAAAGTAAGCAAAAATTTAAAAATTCGTTATAAGAAGATTCCTCTCAATTATAATAATTTTATATGTATTCATAATATCTGTAAAAATTATATTAAAAACAGGATATTTGTACTAATCATTAGAAGTCTTTTATTTATTACTGATTATTTCATAGAAACCTGGGGCTCATCTAAAATGATATTTAATCGATCAATACCATCATTAAATATAAAGTTTTTGAAGTTGTAAAAAACAACGATTTTAATAAGGATCATGTGTTGAGATACGTACTATTTCTTGCGGGAGTAAAAACCTTATCTTTATGGTACTATCAAACATAGAAGAGACTTCACGGGTACAAGTTAGTATTTAATAAAATTAAACAGTATAAAGAGACTAGAGAATATACATGTAAATGTATGTAGTGCCTTTAATAAACACACATAAATGAGGGCGAGTAAATCGTGAGGGGCTAAAACAACTCAATCTCTAGAGAGAAGCGAAACATCAAATATAACATATTCATTATCAAAGTTGTGTTCAGTGAGTTAAGGTAATTTTTTTGTTTAATAGTTCTAATATACATAAAAAATATGTTGTAAAAAATTTTATAATTTTTTTAGATATAGCACATGCTGTTTACATTTCATATACTGATAGACTAATGAATTCAAAATAAGATAACTATATTTTTTTTTTTATGTCAATAAGTGGCAAAAAATAAACGGACAATCTGATAATACTGTTTGGTAATTAAAAGAGTCCAAAAGATGTGAATGACATCCAATCTTTGAACAAGAGTTTGATGATCAAAGCGTGACGAGGGAAGTATGTAAATGAGATAATTTCTTTGAACATCCTCTATTATGCAGGCGATAAAACATTTAAAGTATCCACGTTCTTATGGAAGTCTTAGGATTCAAGTTCTTCAATATTATTGTAGTTATTGACGATTCATAATATCCTTCCTAACAACCTTCCATTATATGAAATACAGAACATGTAGTTTTCAGAGAACCGAACTAGAGATGAGGACAATGTTCCATTTCGGGGACAAACATGGGCCTTTTATGGTAAGAGTAAGACAACAAGTAGGAAATGTCTCACAATACTTGGTATTCCCTTCTTTTGGGAAGCTTATAAAGATTTACTTTCCCCACATGACTCTGAAAGTGGACCTCATTCAATATATCGACCCGCAAGTCCACAATGCTTTCACAAATTTTTAGAGAATTGTTCTGGAATTGGGAATTATTATTAAAACATAAAATTATTTTAACATCTTTAATCCAGTATCGTAATAAACATAAATATTTCGAGTGACAGTGAAATTAATTTGCTCTCCCAGAAAATAAAATTATATTTAATCCTTACTTATTGATTAAATACATATTTCCAAAACAAAACTCTAGTGATACAAGCTTTTTGAACTCCTTCTTATTCTAGGTTTAACATTTTTAGGAGTAAGAAATATACACACAAAATTCTAGCTCCACAAAATAGCTTCGTCCTGATTTTCCTTTGTGTTACTTGTCTTTGACTTGCTTTACAGTAAAGGAACTATTATTTTATAAGAAAATAATATTGTTTTAGAAATAAGTATTTCATAGAATGTTTTGGCTTCTCAAAATAAAATTATATACCAACTTATTTTACTTTATTTATGACATTGTATTTTACATATAAAAAAATTATTTTCAAAATTTTAGGATCATCATTTTGATAGTGTACATAATAATAACTAAAACTAATCACTGTTTAATTTAAAAACTTATTTATGAAGTTAGACAAATTGATTACCAAATAATAAATACACGTCATAATTTCTACTACACTAGTAAGAGGAAAAATATGTAGTTTGATTTATATTCGTGATATCTTTGATGTTTTATCGTCATCAATATTTTTTTATTATGTAACCACTTCTTAGAATACACCTACTTAATCTTACCAATGTATGCACACTATTGTGGATTAAAATCAACTAATATATGTATTATGAGATCTGAGATTTTCGCGAGTACTCATTTAAATGAAACTAATATTTTCTGATTTACTATGCGTTTTTTATTTTTGATTATAAACTACATACACCCTACGTTTCGGCTACTTTACAGCAACCGTGATCACGGGCAGACGAGATGTGAGTGTCTCGTCTCAACGCGTAGTAAATCCGAAAATATTAGTTTCATTTCAAATAATATATTACTTAATTCCTTTCTTTAATAGAGCGGCTTTCTGAGATGTTCGTTGTTTTTTGTGGATTGAATTAATTGTACATAATACAATTATATTCAGATATTCTGAGCTGTTTAGTAATTGTTTAAAGCACAGGAAATTTGAGCCTACTTTTCCCAATATATGTAGCTCATCAATAAGAAAGAATATTCTTAAATCAACTCAAATAATGATGAATAGACATGAAAAATTACAATTTAGAAGTAAGATCAGTTTTAATTCTTTTAATCTTGCTTAAACAATTTTTTTATTCGTAACACATGCTAGTATTTCAAGGATTAATGAATCCGGGTAATATTTTACCTTACATAATTTAAAATCGTGTATTCATATCTTGACTTTCACATCGAAATAATAATTTTGTATACGAATCTATGAAAATTTTATGAGGATAAAGCGAAAAACATGTAATATATTATAACGAATAAATCAAATAAGAATCGAAGGCCATAAATACATGTCCGCCTTTGTCTATCAGCTTAACTCATTTCTTGTTTCAGAATACTCCCTTTTTAATAATTCAGAACTGACCGATCATTCTGGATACAAAGCGATATATATTTTTTACAGACATGAGCCCGGTATTTTTTTCAGAAATGAAACGTTAATTTGATTAAGCAAAAATTTACTATAATAAAAGGACAGAAATATTGCTCATGAATAAAAAAATGTCTTTAAAAGAATCTTTTTTACTATTTAGTATTTGTACTTACTAGGATTGACAGCTTGCCCTTCGTCTACCACGTGCATAGACAAATGCAGAAGAACAAGCAATGTTGCTGATAACTGAAACAAAATTGTAAAATTAGTAAATTGTATTTTTGATCAAGTTGTTTTCTATTCAATTTTCCAGCAAGTGACTATAATGACTTTTAGCTTGGTCGAAAACGGAAAACCACAAAATGAAATTAAATATGGTTAATTTGTAATCAGTATTTACAGATTTCTTCCATTCATCTGATTTTCGAAGTAAAAGAGGAATTTAACAGAGAAGTGGAAGAATCCCGGTTGTACTGGTGTAGTCTGCAGGTTAATGTTTTTGGCTTGAGTTCTGTAATGAAAACTAATTTATAACATAAAAAATATGTTTAAATTTATATTCGAGATATTTTTTTCTAGCTGTAAGTCCTCTCTTAATATAAAAAATATTTATATTGGAATCTGGTATTTTTCATTTGAGAAAAACTAAGTAGTTAAAAATAAATAACTCCAAAAATAAATTATCAGAAAATTGAAGTCTGTTATATGTTTCTTTACAAAGTTTCGATTTAACGATGTCTAGACATAGCAAAATCCTTTTGTTACATTCCGTCACGCTGCTGTTTCTTGTTATTCACGAAAAATTATACCTTTGAGAAATCTTTGGAGTTCTAAATTAGTACATAGTAAACCTTATATAGTAGGTCCGTATGAACTGTTGGCTTGATCTTATTTAATATTGGATACAGCTCTCAAATCAGTGCATTCAATGCATATATCTTCTATATGTATAAAAATGGATTGCTGTTCCTTAGTCTCGCTAAAACTCGAGAACGGCTTAACTGATTTGGCTAATTTTAGTCTTAAAATACTCCTGGAAGTCCAGGGTAGGTTTAAAAGGTGAGAAAAATTGGAATAATTGCCGGGAAAACCCTAAAAACAGCCCTTTTCTATTTCCCATACAAACGTTTTTTTTTTACATTAGATTTGACAACTAACTAATATGTCAATCATTCTGTTTGATTGATACAGTAAAAACCTGATTATTTATGGCCTCTTAGACGGAATAGAGTTCGCCTGGTCAGCTATACCTACATATATTACTCTTGACCAAACTAACGCGGACGAAGTCGCGGGCAAAGACTAGTAGCTAATAAATTTTTTGACATATCAAATTAAAATTAAAAGCAGATAGACTATTATCATCTCGATAATTTTTACTACCCTTACTTAAGTATTTTGAGTGGAATTTCTTAAATGAGTCTCATGTCATAACATTTAATATTTAAAGATAAAAAATAAGCTATAATAGTATTAAAAAAATTGTCTTCCAGCTGAAAGATTAAAAATTTGCTTTAACATATTTTTACTTCAAGAATTTAACGAATTAAGTTCCAAACGGAGTAAAAACCGTTTTTGTTATAAATACAGATGTATTTATAACAAAAACAATAGAAGTTATAATTATTGTTTTTCAAAGTATACTTAAGTGCCATCCAAGGAATAGTCAAGTAAATATTTGACATTCATTCAAGATTCTACTTGCCAGCAAAATTCAATAGAGAAAACAAATAGATGTTTATTATGCTTTAAATTTTAAACGGACGTTCTCGCTTGACGCACTTAATGCTCTGGTTAAAGCTTAGCATTGTATGGGCGACCCGAAATGCAGAGTTCCTTCTAATTAGGGTTACATGGTTACATAAATTAAAAATTATTTCTTTAGCGTTTCTGTTCGTCGATATTATGCTCTTATAGATATATTCATTTATAATACCTTTAGAAAGCGAGTATAATAAAATAGTAGTAAATTTTACGTTACTATTTAAATATAAACACCAGATTGAATATAATATGAAAATATATTTTTGGCTTCGCCTTTTGTTACATTCAGGCGAAACAAAAACAGGCTATTTAATTCGGGTGAATGAAAATTTTCAGCAAATATTCAACCTATTGTGAGTCATATCCGAAACAAATTTATCAAACGTAATTAAATGCGCAAGTTTAACCGGCCGAGTTGAACGCATCGTATGCCGAATAAAAATAATAAAAAATTATATAATAAGAAAAGTTATTAATATAACAGTAAGATATTTTGCCATACGTATATATTTATTATATTATGACTTATTGTTAGGTGTAAACGAATTTTAGAACTCGCAATGAAATTATTGTTCAGATTGAAATTCCGTTCTTACTAAAGAAACAAAAAAAAAGTTTATTTTGTAATATTTGATAATAGTCAGAAAAGAAAGGGCAGCTATATTTGGAAAATTCAACATAATATAATTTTGCGTCAATTTACAATGACGTGATTTTTTATTTTGGTACCGAAGCTCGAATACAATTAAAAATATTCACTTTTATTGGGAAATTGTGTATCTTTTCATACAATATATTCGGATATTATTAAAATAAATCGACATAAAGGCAATAATATGTAGTTATCTTCTAATTTTATGAATGACTAGATAAGTAAAGGGAATTCATCTTTGTTCGAGTAAAAGGCTTCAATACGAGTGCTTTAAAGAAATTTTAAAATATAAAGTCTTCTTATTTGCTTTTAAAATCTCTTTGCTGTGGTCTTTTAAACTTTTCTTTTTACCATTTTTCTGCTGAGGAGAATATTTTATTCTTATTTGCTGCTTTCATAATTCCTAACGTGTAAATTCACAGTGCAAGTAAACTATATTTTATAAATTGTACACACAATTTAATTACATTATTTGTGCGAGATGGCCCAAAATGTTGCTATGAATATATAGAGAACGTTCTAGTTACTATTATTATCCGAAGATATCTTAGCTCTCCATGAGTAATGCCTTTAATATACGATACAAGAGAATTGTTTCGCTTCTTACGAATCATATCAAACCAAGTTGGGCAATAAAAGACGGCATGGCGCTCCGTAAATAGCCGAATGATAGAACATAAACGATTTTGGCTTACCTTGAAGTTAAAGCTATAGGTATTTTATGAGATGTACTTAAAAAGTATTCTATACAAACGTAGAAAATTTTATTTTATAAAATTTGTATAAAGAAAACCAAATTAAGATTTATTTTTATAATATTAAAGTAATATTATTACAGTTTTGGTACTGGCCAAGATATTCGAGTACAATTTTCATTATTTTTTTGGAATAAAGAATCTTTGTTCAAGATAAGATCAGAGTAAAACAATTCTTTTCATTACGAATAACAAAGAAAGTGTTGAAAAATACTATATACACACCGAATGTTCAGCTAAGTAACAAAAAAAGGGATGATACAAAATTTCCTAAGTAAAAACTCCAATGTAACATATTCTACGCTTACGAATTTAATATCATGATCCCCTCTATTATGGAATTCGGTTATTAGCACATGGATATAACATATGGGTATTACTAAGTCACTAAATCTTCGTTAAGCCCGGAGGACATATGGTTTCGATCCCGTGCCCGCTAGATAATGCATATGATGGAAATTGGTAACATATTGTTTTAAGAGCTGCAATTATTTATGACGTATCTCCGATGAATGTGATTTATAAGATCAAATATCAAACCTTTTCAGGTAAAATAAAGGTCAAATTCCAATAAAAAATGTATTTAGTACTATATAAATAGTGTTAGTCATTTATTTATAAATAAATGATAATACAATTTACAAAAATAACTAATTCTTCGGCTTATTGTCTACTATGAAGATACAATAAGAGAAGTGGCACATTGTTCGAAGGATGAAGATATACAATGAGACGTTATTCACTCCGTCTTTTATCTTCGTAAGACATTTTGTCATCATCCTTTGTTTACCAGCTAATGTTCCTTAATGCAACCCAAGAAATCGCAATTTTTATCGCATTCTTCACAATAAAAGGCTAGCGCTACCTGATACTATGAAAAGAGTGATAATTACTTGTTTAAGGTCATTTCCTACTGGTATATATTTTTGTATTGTTCTTAATATCAAAACTTTTTAAATTAAGGCAAAAAGGAATAAAATATATTAAAGGAATAAAATTATTTAATTTTTAGCATCACCCATAGAGATTAATTTAAATTATTTTTAATCCAACTCAGAAATAGCTTTTTTTGTTACCTAATATTATTATTCGCTTTGCTTGTTTTGAACCTCAATTACTCAAAAGTTACCAGCGTTTTATTACAGAATATTGCTAAAATTTCCTAAGATTACGTTCGGTCTTACTATACAGAAGACGGAAAAATCTGAATTTTCTTTGTAAAACATTTGATAAAATTCGTGACCGCGCTAGCTTAACAGTACAATTTTGCAAAATATAGCCTATTTACAATAGTATATTCAGCATTCCTTGGAAATATAAAAAAATATTTTACATCGTATTGGTTATGTACTTTGTTGAATAACCTATAATATGGTTTTATATAAATATCATTAGAACTAATTCTGTCTATGTAATCTATACTCATAATATCATTAAAAAATGTTTCTTTCAAATAAAATGTTATATTCAGAAATAAATTTACATTTTTATATCATGTTAGTATGTGATTTTGAAAGGGCTATAAGCATGTTATGTTTATGTTAGTAATATCTTCATTATCTATAGAATTATAAAGGCTTGACATGAAATTTTGTAGAAAATTATTAATGATATTAAACTCGCTCATATTATGAAATTAACAAGCGTGTTCGAAAATCCCAGACATTCATATAAAACTTTCGAATATAATTTTCAATTAATACTTTATTTACATACATTGTTATGGTACATATAGTATTATTAGTATTTAAATGTTTATGTTCTTTGTATTTAACTGTCTATATTATTTAATTAGATCATTGATTTTCAAGACAGTCTTAGATTTGAATAAGATAAAACTTTCTTCTCATAGCGATTCTTGAAAAAGGACTGCAAATCCTTGCATATAATATATACATACTAACAATAGTAGTATATAATTGACATTTTTTGTTGGTAAAAGTAGCAAAATATTATATTTTAACAAAACTAAGTCCTCTGAAGTCATTATGATTCTATTGAATATTACTAGGATTGTATTAACATTAGTGTTAATACTTTAAAAGAGAAGATAAATATCTTTTTACATCTTTCAAAATATCTTTTTACATCTTTCCTTAAAAAAAATATGTTATAGTAATAAAAAGATGTAACAAAAATACATAAAAACAACTGTTCTCGAAACATCTTATATCATCAGCTTAAAAATTTACCATAAATTGATTTCGAAGGTGGAATACTACTCTCCCTATCAGCGATCGACCACGACCCTTGGTTCTACTAAGCGGATTTGTGAATAATTTAGAAAAAAATGTTATGGAAGACCAACGAAAATAAAAATGTCTTGAATATGTTAAGATAATATTATTTTTGTAAAATATATTTTATACTATATTTTTATTATTATTAAATTATTTTAAACGACAAAAAAAAAATAAAGTGAAATAAAATTCTATAATACATTTCAAGAAAGTAAAGTCAGTTTGATAATCAGTTTAAGGTTTCAAATATTCTACAAACCCTTCAAAGTCATCGTTAAATTTCCGGTTTACAACGCGATAATGTCGCTCCGGTGACGATGGAGGCTTTAAACTTGGGGGCGAAAGAGGTTTAGCGAATTTTGTATTACAAAGGCAGATAATAGAAAAAGGGTTTATGGAAAAAGATAGCTGGTATTTTAATTGCCACCAGAGACGATTCATCTGACATTAAATTAAAAGAAAAACAATTTAATGTTCATACTATCAGTCTGACATTTTCTCAAAATTTTGATTTATTAAAAAAAACAAATTTATTATTTTAAAGCTTTATGTTTCTAAAAAATTGTGAGCATATAAATATTAATATCATATGTTTGTTCAAAAAAATATTGACATTTAAATTTAGTTGGCTCGTAAGGTATCGACGGTGAAATTATTTTCATTTCAACATAAGTTTTATTGCCTACTTAAAATGTAAGTATATACCTACCACCCAATAATAAGAGTATGACTCATTGTGTTAACAATTTATCATTAGGTATTTTATATTTTTTCTTATCTATTTTCATCCTATTTTTAAAACTACATGTCACGGATATACACAAATATCACTAATGATTTTTAAAAGTAATTTTATTCGATTCTTTAGTTGACAATATTTTAACATCGATGTCTAACTTCACTAGTTTAACTAATTTAATTAAACCAATCCATGTTAAGGCCGATTACGAATTGAACTTCGCGATGAGTTCACGAATTAACTCTTGACTCAGAACTGGACCACCCTTAATTTTCGTTTCCATTAAACTTTGCTTTAACGTCTATCGATGGCGAGATAAGCGGGATCGAACACTCAGACTAGTTTCATAAAACTAAATAACTATCTCATAACTGAAGGATAGTTTATATAAATTACTTTAACATCTTTCAGTCCTTATGGACCTGAGTTTAGTTCATTTAAAATTAATATTTTATATAATTTTATTACTCTTCGCTCGTACGTTTTAATGCTATGTATAAGTTTATAAGATACTATATACAAACAAATGTATCAGTTATCACACGATAAATATAAAGCTAAGTATATACTAAAAATTAATATGTCTCATGTGTATCTGAGAGAATGCGTTTACATAAAATCGGAATGACTTAAACGATTGCTTTAGTCCTACCATAAATGACTTTATGGAACTCGTATATGGAAACATTTCGAGCATTGGGGACCTCCGAAATGTCAATAAAATACTATTCCCTATAGTATAATATTAACTGTTGCGGCGCAATGTATTATTATTGTTAAAATGTTCTATTCATTGCTTTTCTTCCATTAAATTGCTTAAGTATACGATTATGAGTGAAAAAGATTTATCATTTGTATTACAAGTGTTAAAGTAATAATTGATAACTTAAAACCATGATTAATTATTATTCTATACTGTAACCTTTCAAAAAAATATGATTACATAAGAATGTAAGAATATAAATAGCTGTGTTTGGATTGAATTAACACATAGATCTTCTTATGCAGTATGTGTTTTTACAAAGGCCGAAATAATTTATTCAAAGTGTGTATTTAATCGGATTACTGCGACATTGTTAGTATCCAGAGTCATTGTGAAGATTTAAAAAGAAACAAGAATATATTTTTCCTTTGTGCATTCTGGAGGACTGCCAGTTACAACCTAACTAGCTTAAATACCATGACGAGATTTCAAACTTAATGAGGAACTCGACACTAAAACCGTTACGACATTTTAATTAGACCTATCTCTTTCTGAAATTTTATGTGTTTATTTTAATTTAAATCCAGTAATAAAACCTCGTTGATTCCGTATTCACAGAACAATTTGAAAATTTAATTGGTTTCATGTTTGGAAACATTGTTTGTTTTTTTAAAGTGAGATTATGATCATTGTTTTAAAAACTAGTTAACCTATCTTAAGTTTCAACTAGTCTTATTTTTACCATTTTTTGATAAATCTTTTATTTTAAAGTAAACAATGTTAGTAAAAAAAAGACGATTTAACAACAAAAAGTCAAACTTATTTAAAAACAAAAGAGTGTAATATTAAAAGCATTAATTAATCAAACGTTGAATTGAACAGTTTAAATCCACACAAATGTAAATTCATTTCAGAGACAACACAATAGACGAGACTGAAAAATATAATCTCACAAAAACAGTTGACAAGCGGTGCTGTGACAATGTTTTTAAAAATAAATTAATCCGTTTTCAAGCACATCCATAGTTTTAGTTATGAAACATAAAGCTACATAAAGGTCACTTCAATGAGATGAAAATTGGCTAACTTTTTATACTCTTGACCATTAATATGCCAGCCGTGGTTTTAGGGACTATCAAATTTAATAACAGAGATTATGAAATATCATAATTTAATAACCTGGTTACTGAGTCCACATTTTAGAGAAATAAAAAAAAATAAGAATATATAAAAGGAAATATTTACTGCGTACCTTCATTGCATTACCACTTTGTCCCATAGCGACCTGTCATCGCCATAATAACTTCACAGTTTCTGCAATAAAATGAACGTTTATTTAATCTTATTGTATGTATTTTTACAGAAGAGGTTACTTATGTTGGTAATAAAAAACTTTAATGAAGAGCTATCGGTTCTTTGAATTCTTGAAGGACATACTAATCTACTCATGTTGTTTCAATATATTTTCCATTATAGTAAGTTTTCAATTATAATGAAAACATAACTGTATTCTCGCCTATATGTTAAAATATATGGTTAAAATGTTTCAAACTTACATAACAAAACAGTCAGTACATTATAAGAACTGTGACGCAGTCAGTCTATTTTATATGCAACTGGTAGAAGAATGTCTAGACGACCATTATATAGAAATATGGGTCAGACACATTGTATCCAGTGAGGCAAATTTTAAACTTGAGTTAGTGTTTGTTCGAAGGAAATTTTTGCAAAATAGAATATTTATGAGCATCTCAAAGGGTAATAAAACGAAGACTCGCAGTAGTTAACGTGATGGCACAACATTCGTATACATGTCATAAAAATAAGTAAAAATTTATCATGATAGTGTAGTTCTTTAAAACGGTATGGGAAATATGGTCTTAGTGTAACAAAAGTAATATAAAAGTTTCACACACATTTGTGTGGCACGATATTTTCCCAGCATATATAAAAACATTGGTGAGTATTTGTCACATTGCCACAAACTGACAACGAAAATCTAGTTTCCGAAAACATTTTCTATGCCATTTTTCTTACCTTACATATCTTTCGCTTATATCAAGACAGAAATCATTCATATCTATCACAATATATACTTTTTATTATTTTATAGACAACTGTTAAATCTCTCAAAGTTATATTGAAGTATTTTTGAAAGAAACACCTTAAACACTATTAAACTAATTAAGAATATAAATACGTAAAAATTTTAAAACATCAAAGTCATTTCCTTCTAGTTTAACCTTAATTGAGCAAAAAGGTTATTTCAAAGTTCCTTCCCTAATTGCGTTACTAAAAAAAAAATTTGCTTAACATTTTGCCAGCCTTTTAAAATATTTACCGAAGAATCCAATTAGTACAAGCTAATATAATTTCTTGCATTGAAATATTTTTGTGTCCATACATAATGCATTTGTAATTACTTGTGTAACGTAGTAATAAAGATATTTAAAACACTAAAGTTACAATATAATATTGTTTTGTACTTTAATAAAGGATATAATAATGATGTTCTGATATGTTTGATAAACAATAATACATTTTTATCGCTACCTCAAGCGATCCGCAGGATTTTGTTTAAAGTAAACCTCTTGATTTTTATAACTTCTGTTTTATTTTTTTATTTTTATTAAGATTTTATTTGATAGACGTATATTTACATTACATATGAGTGCACTTCGCTTTATACACATATATACATACTTACACTCATAATTGTATATACACATTTTCTGAAATTTTAGCCTTTTAATCTAAGACAACATGTTAAAATTATATATTGTAATATAGAAATGATAGTGTAAGTTACACGTATCCCATATGAAATAGCTAATGAAGCGAATACATAAAAACCTTTCCACCTTTTTCATAATTAACACGCACTTCAATTGCGTGCTGTGACCAACTAAAAGAAAACTTATTAACATAGGCTTTTGATATTATTACATTGTGTTGATTACGAAGACTAATTAATACAATCTTATAGCTTTTCTACATCATTAAGAACCTTGCTTCTAAAGACCTGTATTTAGGGCGAATTTTGTATTGTATAAGGTAATAAGCCGTAGTAAATCATCTCGGGTATTATTAGGTATTATCTTGATGGAATTAAATGTTCCTAATTTGCAAAATTAGTTCAAAGAAATGTTAGTCAAAATTTCTATCTACAAATATTGGAAATTTAAAACAGTCGCTTATTTAATTCAAAAGTTTAAATAATTTTAAGCAAATAATAAACGATCTGTTGTAAATTACAAAGAAATTAGTACGAAACAGATAGTGTTTCCATATTTAAAAATTTCTACTTCTTAATTGAAATGTATCGTTTATAATTTGTTAAGACTAGTCTCTAGACTAATATAGAAAGATTACAATTGTTTAACAATCTGTCAATAATTGTCTCTTTCAAATTCGTGTAAAGTGGAGATCTTATTGGAAAAAAATGTAAAGTCTCCTCGGCAATAACTTGAACGATTTAAAATTTAACAGAAAGAGTAAGTAAATGAGCAAACAGCGGAGTGTTAGTTAAATCATCGTAATAGTGGAGATTTAACGATTGAAGATACATAGTTCATGATCAAGTTGTCCACCTGTGTCAGGTACGATTGAGATCACAAAGGTAGACAAACAATCTTGTGGTATCAATCCCCAAGTATAATAAGACTTAGTTGGATATTCTAAGGATAGCATACTAATTTAAAATCATCAGTTAAGATTTATAAAAGTTGTCGAATGCCGCCACATTCGTTATTCAGAGTTCAATGGAAATGTCAAGTACAGGCGTGTAAATAGGTCCTTGAATTGTTTGTTTTAGGATGATCGTTTTATTAGACGAATAACAATGCGTATAATAAAGTAACATATCAGGATGAAAAATGGATTTGTCTTGAAAACCCTTTCTTGGCATATCAGTGGTTAAACAAAAGACAATTACCAGTTCCCGTCGCGATGAGAGATCGATTCGAGCTTAAAGTCTTATTGAATGCGTGTCTGATGGGATAATAAAGGTTTAGTGTACATCAAAATCATTTCAGACGGTGGAGGTATTATTGGCGCGGTAAATACTCGACAACTTAAGTGAATGTTTGATGTTTTATTAGAGAAATATCTTGATTTAGTGAACCGAAAACAGGGTCTCATACAATAAGACAATGCTGAACCACATAATGCGTTATATATGTACATGGAAACCTATCAAAGAAAAAATAATTAACTGAGAGAAGAATAGGAACTAAAACCAAAGAGTACTAAGATAATCTGGCTTTAATGAACATAATTTATTTTAAATATCATACATATAGATTATTCAATAGAATTAATTATCCACGAAATTCCACTGAATCATTTTAGTCATTTTTACTCGGAATCTAAAAAGCCACAAGGGACAATTCCAAATACTTTCGCGTATTGAAGTAACCTTTCCAGAATAGTTGGGGAATCCTTATCCCAAATTCATGTATGAGACCAAATAGCCCAATATAATTTAGGCTTATTGTTTATATTAGTTTGTGTCATAGTTTCATATGCTTTTCTGAACTTTGACAAATTCATAAAAAAAGCAAAGTGGTTTAAATATCAGTCATATACTATAAGATCTCTGATATAATGTAAGATTTTAAAATCTCTTTCTGTGGGAACGAAAATTTAGTACAATAAACTATTTTACTTTACACCACATGTATTTCTAAATGTAAATATCACTTCAATTGTCTCAACCCTACCCATGAGGAGGCCGAAGTTTATATGTTTGGTAAACACATAAACTATTGATTTAAGAGAAGCTTCCTATTTTTAGACATTAATTGGTATTGTATAAATAAGTTGCGACATGATTACTCCTACCAGAATCATCTCAAATTATGTTATTATGTTTAGAAATATGTATAATTATTTCAATTTTGTAAACTATACTTTTCCGTATATTAACTTTTGTCTCGTCTCAATCTCTGAACCTTTAAAATAAACTAAAGGGCACCATACGTACGTATAATTATGTGTGTAAATAACTTGTTATATCTTTTGATGGCTTTGTAGTTGCTCGACCTTGACAAAAACTCACTAAAAGTAACTGATAATATGTCTTTCAGTCCTTTGTATTTATAATGTTATGAAATTTATTTTGTCTCAGTAGTTTTTGAAACGTATTACCACATTGTATGTTAACTTGAAATATCTTTTCAGTTTAAATGAGAAATGTTTTTCAGGGTAACTAAAAATAAGAAAACACAAAACTGATTTCTAAATCAAAAATAGAACTTAGTTTAAAAGTTATTTTCATCTAGCTACACCCTTAATTTATATTTAATTGATTAATGAATCAAAAAATAAATTGAGTTTTTTATACGATTGCCTTTATTCGCCTGGAAAATAAAGTAATTTCGTGAATGGTT